CTCCCCTGCCTGCGCAGGGACGTGGCTTCCCACCACGGCCAGGCTGCTGCAGCACCGAGAGAAGAGCAGAAGTGCCTGTGGAGATCACCGCTGGCTGGGTCAGGAGTAAGGGGTTTCCTCTGGTCAGGTTTTGTTCTGCCCTTCGTGGCTCTGACCTCCTGGCTTCTCCGCCCAGGGTTACCCCGTCTGACAGGGAGAGGGGCTGTGACAGAGTCCTGCAGGGTTTTGTCACTGCCCGCATTATTATGCCGATGGGAAAGTTGAACATTTGTTTCACAGGGCTTGGAGCTCTCCTGGACCTGTTGAAGAAAATTAGGAGAGAACCCCATTAACATCTCATTCCAGCTTGACCAAGTGCTGAAATCACCTGAAGCGTGAGTTCAAGCCCCACTAGAGAACAGCATAGGAGTCCTACAAGACTGAGTGATGGCAAATGAAACTTAATGTAAATAACGTGATGCACACGGAGGAAAAGCAATCCCAGCTTCGCATACAAAATGCCAAGTTGTGAGTCTAGTGTAACCCAGGGTCTCATTTCTGTGACAGACAGCACCGTGTTAGCACCAGTTCAGTGCCTGACAGCAGTCTGGAAAGCAAATGAAATCTTAAGAATTATTCCAAACAAAATAAAGAACATTGTTATGCTTAGTGCAGCTCTGGTTCCAAAGCCCGTCTCTCACCTGGTGCGGACAAGAGTGTCACGGATCTGGAAATGCTCAGAAAAAATGGACAATAAGGGTAATTGCAAGTACAGTAAAGGAACAATAGTGTATGATGGGAATTTTAAGCCTGGAGGAAAATGAAATAGTAATTAGTGAACAACTTCAGCAAAAAAAGGAGAGGATGTGGTTTGTTTACTTCTTCATCAAACTAGGTGGCCTGGGTTACCTCTTCCCCAATAAAACCAAGACTTCCTGCAGGCTCAGGGGGAATGACAACTCCCTGTGGGTGGCAGTTCACAAGCAGACCCTTGGACTGGGTTTGCAGCAAGTCAGAAAGCGTGTGCATATATAAACAATTTTCAGGTACTTAGAATTAAGATTTACAGCATGAACTGAAGTGCTGCAGAATAAAGTGCCATGTGCTAGGCTATCGGCATGCTGCATGGAGCACGGACACAAGTTACACATCCTCCAGTTCAAGTGAGCTCCAGCTTCCTTCGCCACAAGCACAGCGCAGAACAGCTATAGACCCCAAAAAGGCTTCCAGATTTCCTGACAATGAATTCTTGTATGTCTGTAGCTTGAAGACATTGTACCTACAGCAGGAAAAAACCACAGAGTAATTTAGGAAGGGACTCTGGAGTCCCTGAAGCCCAGTCCCCTGCTCCAGCAGGACCAACTTCAAAGCAACATGAAGATGCTTGGGGCCTTGTACAATCCAAGCGGGTGGCAAAACAGTTTATAAAGTGATACTCAGTGAGCAGTACGCAAAGGCTGCCCTGAGGATTAGTGTTCAGAGTAGCACAGAAGTAGGCCGTGCAGATTAAATACCCTAATTACAAGAAAAAACAATCAGAGATGTCAGGGGTTGTTCTAATGGAAGGAGAACACGCTGACCTAAACTGCCCTCCTGCTCACATGGATAATTCCCACTGTGTATCATCTCAGCACAGTCTTTTTTGTCAGTTTTTACTTATTTTCATTCATATAACCTCAGGACCACACATTTGAACAGACAAAGCAGAGATTTCCTGTGATATTTCTTCACCACTTTCGCTCAGTGGTGGGTGACTCACTCAAAAGCTCACAAACTCTATTGCATGTGATGCTGTATCAACACTATACTTATAATACATCTGGTTTTGGATGCCAAAAATCTGCTTTTGAAACCATTTCATAATGTAATGACTTACAGGAGAAGAATAGACTGCTATGTTCATTTGATTCAGGCAGGGAAGGGAAGATGTTAAACTAGCCTGCTCAAGAAAGCATTAATACATTCAATGTCAGACAAGCAGCAATGATGTTAATTTAACAATATACAAACATTTCAACGACCTGTGCAAAAAGCTCCTCTCTGAGCACCACAGACACATACCTGAAGCAGAATTGTATTTCCTTCATAGTCTTGCGTTTGCCACCTGTTGCTACTGATGGGACTACATGGGTTAGGCAGGAGAGGCACCAACTGCCCTATTTCCTGCACCTTGAACTGCAAGGCTGATGACTCCTTTGGCTCAGCAGCCACCCCGATGGGCAGCTGCTTCAAGCAGAGCTGCACAGCAATGCTGTGGGTTGCATACAACACAAAGACACAGAAGTTACTTTTCTGCATGGTTGCTTCTTTCTGTAGGATCATCTCATAGAGTCTCACTGCATCCTCATAGTTGTCAAAACTGCAGTAGAGGGTGACACGCAGGATTTCGGGGCCACAGTGCACCCGCCTGATGCCCCACACAGGCATCTGGTCATCCAGGCTGTAGAAGTCCTGGTGAGCGAGGCAATAGGGGTAGCTTTGCCCATTAGCAATCTGGGCACAGCGGTAGCGCCAGGGCGGATGCTGGAATTGCTCATGGACCTGGAAAATCCGTTCTTCTCCCAAGTCCTCATGTAGAAAAAGGAGAACAGATATTCCAGGAAAGCCACAGCTTCTCTTCCGATTCAGTGGAGTAACCCGCTCGGACACCAGGAAAAGGCGCATGTCCAGGCAGATCCACTCTAAAAGCCGATCCAGAGTTTGCTGCAGAAGCAGTGAATGTCCCGAATTGGCAAGGAGATGCACTGTCAGAGAGTCTGCTCTGTCATCCATTGCAAAGGTTCCTGGCAAAGAGAGTGCCTTCTCTCCTCTACTACTGGAACCTCAGTAATATAAGGGTTATACTGTAAGACTTCGACAGAATGAATTCAGTCTTCTACCAGCTCCGCAACAACCCAATGAAATACGCAGGTATGCAGTTAAAGCACATGGAGAGGCAGGCAAAGAGTGACAAGGCATTATGTGACTGGTCCCAGATCACTCACATCACAGCAGAGCTTGGCTGAAGGCTCCTTTTCCAGCTCCAAAACTTGAGCTCTGGTCACTGTGTACATGCTACAGACGTGTTCAGAAATACCCTTGTATCCTACTGCTCCTGCCCTCCACAGCACAGGGCACCAGGGATGAAGAGCTCTAAAGCACAAAAGCAGTAACTCTCCAAGATGAGATGATGCTGTAAGCACACTTGCCTGTCAGCAGTGGAGACAGATGCTCCAAATCCAGGCGAGTCCCACCAGTGTGCATCTTGGTGCAATCTCCACCTTTTCAAAAGGCGATATGGCACTCACGTTTGAAGAGCTCAGCATATTTTCTGGTAGTCAGCAAGCTGGCCCCAGCTCACTGTGAAAAGCTTTTGATCTTTGTGAGGCACACCCTTCTGGGGCACGCAGATAAGCTATTCTTTAAAAACGAGGAAGGAAAACAGGCTAACAAAAGAAAAAACCACCGTGTGAACACAACAGATAACAATAAGGGCAGATATGAATCAGCTTTAGCAAAAAGGAGCTTTGGGAAAAAGCCTCTGCTCCTACTTACGCATTTCACAACACAGGTAGCTTTCTGACTAGCTGGAAACCAGGTCCTTGATTGTAATATACAGCCCATAAAAGCTGGGTACCAGGCTCCCTCCTTTCAGTGCCCTGGTTTTGCCTCTTTTGCCTCCTCCTCCTCCAAGATGCCCATGTAATCAGCACCCTTAAGCAAACTCCAAGTTTTTTTCCTTGTTCCTTGGGTTTATAGATTGGTACTTAATTGAGCTTATTGTATAGACTACAATATAGGAATGCTGAAAATACACCTCTTCCCAGGCCTTCTCTAGTGCCTACACAATAAATCACACTGTCCCTTCATCTCCTTTTTTTGCCAAACCAAGAGCAATACATACAAGTCAAGCCAACCTCCACTTTCTATACTGAACTACTGCCACTGCAGACAGTATTTAAATCAAACCTAGGGCCTCTGATGGTGTATCCAGCTCCATCTAATTAAGAGCAGCACATCTCTCTCTGCTGACATACCAATCTCCCTGTCAAACAGCCAAGCACAGAAAGCAGTGGTTTGCCATGCAGAAAGCCCAGCTTTGGTAAGAGTCTGTTACTCTAAACTCTGAACTATATTTTTCTGTTAAATACAATGCTAGCTTTATATTCAACACTCCAAGCAAATCTCCAAGATCTAAAGGTATAAGTAGCAGTGTCCTGGTTTCCTTTATGTAGAAGATCACTCTCTCTGCTAGAAACACATTCATGTTTTAAAAGTGGACTGAACACCAACGCACAATAAAACTTAAAAGCTGGCTAGAAAATGAGTAAAAAACGCCCTAATCTGCACTGATAGAGGCAAACCCACCCACCAACACTGCTGAGCAAGTAACCACTGTTGGGAAGGAGACAAAAAATCCAGCCTTTGGACAATTGCAGGAAGAGAGCAAAGAGAAGAGTGCAAGTGCTCAAAACATTAACACACTCTAGATGAGCTATGAACAACACAATTTTACTGAAATATGGAAAAGGAAATGATTCATCAGCTCTCTGCTACAGGGCAGGGGCAAGCAGTCATCTGCCTTTCCTGCATGTGAGGAAAAGGGAAATTTTGCTTGTGCAAGAAAACACTGAAACTAACAAAGTTCATTGGGGCTCCTTTTGTAGCTGGAAACAAGAGCTGCATTTAGGGTCCCTGTTGGGGTAGGAGGTGATGGTGCTGTGCCATCCATCAGCACAGGCTTGTGCAGCTCTCAGCCTCCATCCTCACTTGGATGGCACCAGCCCGGCTGTTTAAAGTGCCGTGGGGCAGCAGCATCGCAGCAAAGAAGATGAAGAACTGGTAATGTGAACTCCTGCAAAGCAGCTGTAGGGAGTAAGGGCTGGTGAGCCAGGAGGAGTGGGGTTAGGAAACACTGCAGACACCATGTCTCCCTCCAGCTCCCTGGGGGGGTGTTCCAGACGGGCAGAAGCCTCCCTCAGGGACTGCTGAAGGTGACGAGCATCTCCCCTGTGCAGAGTTGGGATGTGATGTAGCTGCCATCCATTTCAAGCATCACCAGGTTTACAACAGCCAAGAAACTGAGCCTGTGCACAAAGAGGGACAAATCCTGAACCCTGCCACCACGCTCTGTTTCCCTCTGTGAGCAGAGCACTTGCTGGGGTGGGGTGGGGAAGCAGTCTCACCTGTGAGCTCTGATGGAGCTGCCTGGAAAACAGTTTTAGGCCTGGTTCTCAGATCCGTAAGTTTTCCAGCAGCTCCAGGTCAAGGGTACCCACCACCACTCCTACCATGAGCAGCATGAGATGAACCTTTGCCTGGGGTTGCCTTTGCTTGAACCCATCCTTCAGAGAGCAGCCCCACCACCCTGGCTAAGGACAGTCCATAGTAATGGGTCCTTACCTTCCTCTCTGCTTCCCCTTCCCTTAGCTTTCCAGCCTGGCTGCCAAATGGAAAAGCACATTATTCATGGTGACCTACTGAACACACCAAGAAAGATTTATTTAAGAGACTAGAAAAATAACCATTCAACCTTACATGAAGTCACTCTGCTGAGGTAAGGCCAGGGGGTGGGGGAGAAGAATAGTCCCAGTGTGGTACTCGAAGTATATCAGAGCCCTATTGCCACATGGTGGTGACTGGCAACGCAGCAGAACATACAGCAGACTGCCAGTGTGGTCCAGCTTTGCATAAAAGCAGGTCAAATATTAATACTGGAGTCTACCACCAATATATACACCAGTAAGGCCTGCATAAAATAAAGTCTGAATGTAAGTAACTAACATGCTTTATCGTGTGGAGCCTCAGAGAATACCGTCTGCTGTATTTTTCAACTCTTATGGTGGGAAAGGCTCAGCAACATAATTAAAAATTCCTTTTCATAATGAATTCTTAAGATGTGCCTATTCCTCTGTGGTGCTCAGAGCCCTTCGCTCTAGCTGACACCAACAAGACTGATGATGCATCACAGGACTTAATAAGTTCATAGTAACATCTGTAAGGAAGCTACTTTATAAGGATTTAGGCTTCTTGTATACTAGCACATAATTAACTTCAGAGAGACTGGGTGTGAATTACTTAAGCACCTCGGGAGCAGGTCTTGTTAAATACTTGGGCTTACTAACTTTTAAAAGACATTTCGTGGTTTATGCCTATCTCAAGCTCTGCCTATAGCAAGGACAAAAATACTGAATTAACTTGTTAGGTGAGAATGATCTGCAGCATAGGCTGTACTGAGACAAAAATCAGGAGTAAGGACTTACTTGAACGCAATAAGCTTTTCAAAGAGTTTGCATCTTGCTCTAAACCTTGTGACTCCATCATCACTTCAGAGGAAAGTAAAACCCCAATGACCAAAAAAGCAAAAACCCATCTAACCTACATTTATTTAAGTAGACTTCTCCCCCAGATGGCTCTTGTTCCTTCCTTCTACCTACCTAACAAAGAGTAGGAATCCAACAGGGGTCTGTCAGCTCCACTGCACACTGCAAATCAGGATGCAAGCATATATGGGCACAGAAAAGAAAAGGAAGGAAAACCAAACCCCGTTATAAAGAGGCCGGGGAAGCTTGCTGCAGGCTGCAACCTGTCTCACCTCACATTGCTACCCAGAGGGCTGACCCTCAGCTGCTGCTGGGAGTCACAGCTCTGACCTGGCAGCAGCAGCATCAACATAGTGCAGCAGGCTACAACTGCTCCCATTGACAGGACCCAGCGACCCGAGACTCCTGCCCAGAGACACACCGTGCTGGGAGATGCACGGGCAAGATAGGTTTTCAAGGCTCATGGGAGATAAAATGTAAAATAAATGAGAGGTTCCTCCTGACCCTCAGCCACAGCGGCTGGGGGAACAGGCATCCTTGCAGCACTACAGCACACGCTGTTAGAGGGACAACTAGGGTCAAACCACATTTTCCCTGTACACTTAGTGAATGCATTTTCAAAGGTAAAGCAAATAAGTTACCCTCAAGCTACATGGACTTCGGTGCAAATGCAAGGCTGGGAGAGCAGCACTGAGACACAGAGAAGAGGGAAATTGCTGGCAACAGATCAAACCGTGGCCCTGTCAAAACCCATGATGGAAGTCCCATTGTCTCTGAGACAATCAAGCTTTTACCACTGGTACCTGAATGATCTCCCAGGAAAAGGAAAGTTGAAACTGAGGACTGAATTTCCAAATACATACCACCATCAACAGGATCTTGAAAGCCTTACATTAAACCAGTGTTATTGTGGTGATGTGAATGAAACTGACAACACATCTGCCAAACCTAAGCAAGTTCCCATCTGCTTGAGCAAAAGAAAAGGCAATGGAGAGACAGAAGATGCTGCTGCAGTCTGTAGCAGTGTCAGGTGAGAGCCAGTCCACTGATAGCACCAACTGCGCAGCACCACCACCCCTCCAGCCCCCTTTCTGAGACCCAGTGCCAAGACAAGGGTCAGGAAGAGGAACAAAGAACATCTGTGTACTTGAGTCAGCTTTTCCAATCCTGATGCCCTTTCTAAGATGCCAGATATGCATGGTTACACAGATGTCCCTCCAGTTACATGGCTGATGGCCACTACAGCCGCATGCAAGGGAAATCTCACAGAAAGCACAAACAGCAGAAAGCAGGCTCTAGTCATTCAGATGGTTCAAATTCAAGCAGTTTGAACTTGGGTAAAAGTAGAAAGCCTGTCAAGTAAGTGCATGTAACCAAAGACACACACGTTTCTTAGCAGAAACTCCTATGCAGTTCAGGCCTTGATGTCCACAGGTTCCCGCACTGACTGCTCCCAGCAGCATGCTTTCG